AATGAAAGAAGCAGAAAGAAGACAAGAGAGCTGCTTTGATGAGCACTGGAGAAACAGGGATCTTTATAGTCAATAAGAAAAGGAATGAGGAGGGCCTCCCAGGTGGCACAGCAGATTGTGCGCAGCACTGTGAAACTGTCCACAGCCTCTGCAGCGCAGGTTCGATCCCTGGCTGGCCAGGGAGATACCCACATGGCGCGGCAGGCCTCTCCTGTCTCGCCTGCTGCTCCCCTCAGCAGTGCTTTTAGTCATCTGACTGTTCTGCTCCCCACTCTGTCTCTGGTGAACCCTCTCACTCTCCCGTGCCTCTGGTCTGTACCCCAGCTCTTGCATGAATAAATAAATCTTTAAAAAAAGAAAAGGAATGAGGAAATCAAATCGCTAATTTAGAAATGACTAGTCAACCTTCTACCACAAAACTAAAGCACCTTTGTGGTTACTCTCTCTACTGGGCAATAAAACCCTATCGTTTATGGGCTTTTTGCAAATCAAAGCACAAACTGTCCAGAACTATAAATGTCCACACCTTTGTCAGTTATAGATATTTATCAAGTATAATGGCAGCAAAGTTCCATTCCGTGGGAGAGTCCCATGAATGTTAAGCAACCTTCTATACGATACTCTAGTTATACTCCCTAAAAAAAGAATCCTCATTTTATCTTTACCAAGTTTGGAGGAATTATTCTTTTCTTTTTAAAAAGAAAGATTTATTTATTTATGCATACAAGAGCTGGGGTACAGGCTAAAGATGCAGGGGATGAGAGGACTCACCAGAGACAGAGTGGGGAACAGAACAGGTAGACTGACTGAAATACACTGCTGAGGGGAGCAGCGAGCGAGACAAGAGTTCTGCTGCGCCATGTGGGTAGCTCCCTGGCCGGCTGGGGATCGAACTCATATTGCAGAGGCTGTGGATTGCTTCATAGTGCAGTGCTTAACCCCTTGGGCCACTAGGGAGGCCAGGAATTATTCTTTTCAAGGGGGAAAGGACTTTTCTAGTCGGAAGTAAGCTCTCTGATATACTTAGTATCTAGATACACTTAAACAAGTCACTAACCTTCCCCAGACATCAGTTTCCTTGTCCAGTGGCAGTTTTTATTTCTCCCATGTGAAAGAATGTAGAGCTGTAATATGGGGATCATTTTGAAAAATATTCAAATTCTATCTTAGAATAATTGATTAATACTTGCAAATCTTTTTACCTCTGAGCTTAAGTTTGACCAATGTAAGACTGGGAATGAAGGCCTGTACAAACTGAACTCAGACCCAGCCTCAGCTGGCTAGAATGAGACTCAAAGCAGGTATTTGTGACAGCAGGTCTGGAAGGTGGGGAGAATGAAGTGGGCTGACAAAGTGAGGAATAAGGATCTGAAGGTACTTGCAGGGAACAAAAATACAGTTTAAATGATCCACTTGAATATAGCAGGGAACTTCCTGTCACAAACAGAATGAGAGGTGACATGATTATCAATTAGGTCAAATATGATGTCAAATCTTAGTAAGCATGAACATAGTTCCTAGTTATTTGTCTTTTCCTCCGCACTGCACTTTCCATCATTTTTCTTCATCTGCATCTCCCTCTGAGCTAGGCAGGATGGGGTTATCCCACCAGACTGAGGGCTTCACAGGGTCATCCACTTTGTTTTTCATTCAGGTCTCTGCACATGGGCCCTGCAGAAAAGGACCTCAGAAAAAGCAGGAGCCCTGCCCCCCAACCCCTCCGAATAGAGATGACTGGCAAACCTGAACTTTTGCCAGGCTGGGGTGAGGGCAATGTGATAGCCCCACTCCCTTCCTGCGAGACTTTTCAGAACCAGGAAGAAGCTGCCCATAGAGTCAACCACCGCCTCCCCACTCTGGATGGCTTCAGTCCTAGTTGCTGGGTTCTGGTGAGCACTGGAGTGGCACCACGAGGCCACTTCTTGAGATGCCTAATAAAGGGGCTGAGGGCCAGGCAGGGGACTGAGCTCTCTCTGGGACTTCCAGGCTGGGCAGGGTAGCCCAGGCTGAGGCACAGTCTCCCATCAGAGCTCCACATGGCATCCAAGGCACAAGTGCCATCCTCATGCTCCTTATGGTGAAGATGGAGAGTGGGCCACTCGATTACTTTCACTTTCCCTCCCTCCCTCCCCCGACCTTCCTCCCTTTCCTCCTCTGTTCCTTCTTCTCCAATTTGGTCCCAGACTTTCAGGGACACCCAATGTGGTGACCCTGTTAGTTGCCCTCACTGAATAGAAGGAAACTCCAGCCCAAGGAGGGCCTTAGGGCCCCACCAGTTCTTAGACGGGCTGGGAGCAGACGCATGGGTCTCACAGGGCTCCCAACTTCCCCATTTTCTCCTCCTCTCCTGTGATTTCCCAATTCAAACCAAGCACACACCGAGCTGAGTTAATAGCCTGTTTTCCTCTTGCTAGAATGCTGCTCCGGCTCTGCAGAGCAGCCAGCCCTGTTGGCAGATGTGGAGGCCCTTTGAGAATTAGACAGCCTGAGGCTCTCGGAGTTGGTATAGAGTCTATGAGGCCAGCATCGGGCTGGAACAGGAGTCCTGATTCTTGGTTCAGTGTTCCTCCTACAGCCCACACGGCCTTGTACCCCTCCAGATTGGTAGCTCCCATCACCCCCAGCACGGATCCCAGTGCCCCCTTCCTTCCCACTCTTGACTTTATCCACAAAGGCCATTCAGGGTATAATGACGCCTCCTAAGTGGAAAATGTGTCTTTCCTCAAGGCTGATGTCCCCAGGCTCACCCCCCCACACACACACACACCATTCTGCATCTCAGCCAGAATCCCACCCCACTGGAGGCCTGAGCCATGACCAAGAAGAAGAGAGTGGCTTAGGGGCCCCCAGGCAGAAGGAAAAGAGTAGGAGCCAGCAGAGGAGGAGCATCTGCAGAGAACTCTGGGCAGCAAAGAAGTAGCTGCATGTGAACCCTAATTTTATTGGAAGTAGAGGGAAGCCCTGCTCTCATACTTAGCCCTGCTTGCTATTTTCCCCTAACGTTCCCCTAAAGCCAACAATTCCAGAAATTTATGCGACATCCCAGGAGTAAACAGAGAACATGTTTACTGTCTTGGGGGTCAAGAAAATTGCTCAGCTGAACTGTCTTGAAGATGGGAGTGTATTAGGGAAAGAGGTGTCAGACTCCATGCTGGTTCTAGAGGATTCCACCTCCTCCCTGGTCAGTAGGTATTAAGAGTGGCAAAGGCCAATCCTCGAAAGATGGTAGTTTAGTGAAAAAATGGGGACTGAAGCCTGGGCAACCCTTACCCCATACCTATTTCACAGTCTCAGGAGAAACTGTAGGTGATCTTGAGCAAAATGAACACAGTTTGGATATTCACTAGGGTAGATTTATTCCTGGTTTGTTCCTTTCTCATTCTATCCACAAAGGATTCTTTTTACATCTATCAAAACTTGTAGGCTTTCCTCCCTGCCAAACTTAGCCTTTTATGGATTTACATACCAGAGACATCCAGATCATGGTTCAGAAGTGATCTGGGGAGAAAGACTCAGTGAGAAGCCTGGGAAGGTGGCCTGATGCCCCTGTGAGCCTTTATAGTCTCCCCCTCTCCCCTGTGCCGCCTGCCCCCCTAGAGGTTGTTTGTTTGAGTTGGGTGAAAGCCAATCAGATGCACTGGATCAGGGTGTCCTGGCTGGGAGACAGGCAGCTATTTGTCCTCTCCTCTTTGTCCCTCTCTTTGGGAGGAGGGAAGGGCTTAAAATAGGAATGAAATGGACAGGAAAAAGACAGGCAATCATATCCTTAAAGGGTGTAGGTCAGTTGGCTCCCTACACCCTTTGGGGGGTCCCTTTTATTAGCTACTGCCTGCCTCCTGTGATAGCCCTGCAGCCGGCTGACTTGGAGACCCCAGGACTGCAGTAGAAGAGGGGCTAGCAGAAAAGCCCTGCGTTATAGGCTTAACTCAGCAACTGCAAGCTGTATGGTCTTAGAAAAGTCACCTTCCTCTCCAGCACTTCTCCAGCTGGTGAATGAAGAAGCTAAATGTGTTGAGGTCCCCTGCCCCCGACCAGTGATGTGGGGTTGCTCAGCGGAAAGAAAAGAAGGCAAAGGCATGATATAAAGCTCTAAACATTTCTAAATGGCCATGTTCAGAAGACGAGTTCTCCCTCTGCATTATAGCAAAACAAACAAACAAACAAAAAGCAGAAAAGGACTTACTCAGGGTATTAGGAATGTTCTAGATCTTGATCTAGAGGATTATTGGTTCCATGGTGGGTACACTTATAAAAATGCATTGTGCTATCCTCTTAAGAGTTGTGCAATTCCAATCACTTTGTTGTATTTACATAAATTATACCTCAAACGAACAGTTTTTAAAAATGTACATAAACTTCAGCAGAAAGATCTTCCTAATGAAGGTCTTTAGTGGAAAGAATTTCCATCCAGGAAGGTTTAAGGGTGTCCCTTCTCTTGAGAACTTAAAACTAGGATTATCCATCTGTGTTGACAGAGAAGGTAGGGGACTAGGAGACAAATAATATGGCCTCTTTTGAAGAGCTTTCCAAAGTCTTTCCATCCTCAAAAATTCCCATGTTCCTTCCCAGGAACAGAAAAATCCTTCTTGCTGTCAACTTTCTCTCACTCCTATTGCAATTCCAACCACTCACTCTGGCCTCCTTGAAGCCTAGTCAGCACCCCTGGTCTCAGATAAAATCTCTCAGGAGTCCCATAGCTTGGAGTATTGAGGTGGAGCCCACTTCAACCTTCTCCCTAACCGTCCTCTCTCTCTCCCCATTCTCTTCTCCCGGGGGTGTCAGTTCCTGTGCTGATCCCACCCCCACCAGGCCCTTTTTCCGGTGGTGTGTGCCAGCCGGTCCTACATCCCACATCCCCAGCTGTTGACATTTTGTTGTCATTACCCACAGGATAAAGAAAGGGCCCCTGTTATTCAACAATAGGGGAGAAGCCAGAGACAATGGGAAATTGTGCTTCCGATGGGGTGGGGACAGAGAAGGAAAGGACAGACAGACAGGCGGGGGCACTGGACAGAAGGGATTAGGTTTCTTGAAGCAGCTGGAAGTCCTGAAAGTCTGGTTCCCACCTTGAGAGCCTCTTCCCACAGGTTTGCGTACCCAGGCACCGGAGGGCAGAGGTGAGGACTTTGTTGGGGGAGGGGGGTGTTGCTTACACGAAGCCCCCACAGATATATGGAGGCAGCTGGAGCTTGACAGTCATGGATCTTTGAGCCTCATTTGTAGTCCATCCCCATGCCCATTAGTCTCACAGCCTCATCTCCACCAATCAATCCACCCCTTCTCTGGTCCGAGAGTATCTAGAAGCAACGAAGGACCCCATTCTCTGTATTCTTCCAGGTAATTATTTTTGGGTTGCTTCCTTTGCTTCAGCCCTCTTTGTGGGTTCCCACCCATCATCCCAAGCCCTGCATTTTTCCTTGGGCTTAGTAGAGTAATGGGGGGGTGTTCTTGGTACCTAGGCTGCTTCTGTGAGCTCAGGGAGGAGTTTTTCCTTACAGGTGCAGAGGAGTGACTGCACCGATCAGATGTCCATGGGTCCTAAGGTGCTTGGCCCTCCTAGGGACCCAGGCAGCTTCCTCACCTGGCCCATCTTCTTCCAGCAGGAAGCAGAACAAAGAACTGCCAATCATTGGCCTCTCCATCTCTGTGAAGAGACAAGCTTCTAAAAGGTAGGCTCTGAGCTGTTGACCAGTTTGTCATTCTCTGAAAGGGGTATGGAAAAGATATATGTGTGCTGCTTGGAATACAGAAATACAGATCCATGATTAAGAGCTTGAGAGTCCCTGTGAAAGCCAGACTCAAATCCCAGCTGCATGACCTAACTCCAGTTTCCTAACACATGCACCTTTGTCTTGGTGTCAATAAGATGGGATTCCTCCTCATCCCTACCTCACAGGAGTGCTAAGAGGTAAAACATGCCAGTGTCAGTCTTTTTACTGTCGGCTATTCAATCCATCTCCGTTCCCACTAGGCTCTGCTTACCAGAGTGGTTCTCCCTCTCATGTCCCTATCCCAGACACTTTCACTTTTGACCATGAGGAAGCCCTTTCTATGCCCACCCTCCATTCCTCTGTCCATTTGCAGGAAGATGGAGCTCAGTTCCTTGCCTTTCCGACTCCTCACTGTTTCCTTCCTCTCCCCATGTCCCATCTCTCCTTCTTAAAAGTCCTCCATGTGGCTCATTCATTAACACAGGCATGTTTATTTAGCACCTACTGTGTGCCAGAAACTAAGCTGGGGACTGCCAATAATAGTTAGCATTCTAGCATCAGGCACCATTTTAAGCATTTTACATATATTATTTCATCCAGTCCTCACAACTACTCAGTGAAGTGGGTATGCTATTATTATTCATGTTTCACTGATGAGGACATTGAGGCAGAGAGCTTCAGTACCGTGTTCAAAGTCATGCAATTAGGAAGTGGAAAAATCAGATTTTTTAAATGAATAAAATTAGGTTAAGGGATACTTTGTCCGATTTTTTTTTAAAAAAATGGACAAGGGCCTCCCCGGTGGCGCAGCGGTTGAGCGCTGGGTTGCGAAGCTGCCCGCGGCCTCTGTGGCGCCAGTTCGATCCCCGGCTGCTCCCCGGCCACCGGCCACCAGAGGAGGGTCCCACATGGCGCGCAGACCTCTCCTGCCGCCCGCTGCTCCCCTCAGTCGTGTACTTCAGTCTGCCTGCTCTGCTCCCCGCTCTGGCTCTGGTGAATTCTCTCACCCTTCCGCGTTTCTGACTGTACCGAGTGCATGTATAAATGAAACAAACAAACAAATAAAAAAATTTTAAAAAATTTTAAAAAATGCCTAAAAAAAAATGGACAAGGTGATTAAGAATACATGCAATGGATGGGGGAAAATTCAACTACTGAAGTAGACATTTGTGTTTGAAACCAAATTTTGTAACTATAGTTTTCTGTTTATGCCATTATAACTGCTGGAAACCTCACTAATACAGTGTACATATGTATATTGCTACTTTCAAATTCACATCATTATTTTAGTTGTGAGTAAAAGTGCTTCTAAGGAAAGCGATGCCCAGTCCAGTGCACTGGGAACCACATTATTCAGGAGATCAATGTCCTGCAGTGTGGCCAGGCTGGGGGAGAGGAAAGGTTTCTAGAGGAGGTGAGGTCCAAACTGATGCCCACCAGAAAGAGGTAAGAGTGACTGTGAGCTGTTTTGGAGCCTGAAGTCCGACAGGTCTGGAGAGCAGGTAGTGCTGGTGGGGTGGGGGGTGACCTCAGACGTGCAGGAGAGGCTGGATTGCAGAAAGCTTTGGAAGCCTTTATCCTGGGGGCAATGGGGAGTCACTGTTTTAAGCAGGAGAGCAACAAGGTGTATTTACTCTGGCTTCAGATGGAGAATGGGCACTAGGAGACGACCAAGCCTGCAGCTGGCACTAAGGATGGCAAGACTTAGAAAGTAGCACTGTGATGAGAAGGGGATAGGACAGCAGATGCTTCAGCAGGACCCGCCTACTGAAGGGATGTGAGAGAGGAAGAAGGATGGGCCCAAAAGGGGTGTTGCAGCTTCCCCCCTCCTGCCATTACCTTCCTTTGGCCACCAACACTGGTCCCTTTGTCAGCCCCCCTGGCTTCCAGCTAGACAGTCCCCTCTGAGGGATCCCAGATGGGTGTTCATGTCCAAACCTGCTCCTCCCCCACTGTCTTGTTCCCTAATCCCTTAGTTCTAAGGAATGCCCACCCTTGTGCCCTGCAGACAGTGCCAAGCTGACTTCCCATCATGCCAGGTGGACCTAGTCTCTCCACACTCTCCCATTTCCTTCTCCCTTGGGTCTTCATCATCTTCCACAAAGCCCTTGGGGACTCAGGTAAGACCTCAGGCCCACCCAGAATCTGGGCAGCAGTGAGGAGAGGTTCTAGGCTGGGGAAAGTGGAAAGGGCTGCTGTTGGAGGTACCCAGGGAGTGGGCCAGGGAGGACAGGCCGGTGGAGCCTGTGGAACACAGTCTAGATGGGCAATTGGGGCAGGGGAGATAAAGGCGTTCCTGCCACTGTGGTTCCCTCTGCTCAGCATCCCACCCTGGCCCCCACTACCTTCTGACCCCCATCCACGAGGTCATTCACTCCCATCGCGGGGCCACCGTCACGCTGCCCTGCGTCCTGGGCGCCCCGCCTCCCAGCTACAAGGTCCGTTGGAGCAAAGTGGAGCCCGGGGAGCTCCGGGAAACTCCCATCCTCATCACCAATGGACTGCACGCCCGCGGCTTCGGCCACCTGGGGGGGCGCGCAAGGTTGCGGAAGGGGCACCGGCTAGATGCCTCCCTGATCATCGCTGATGTGCGCCTGGAGGACGAGGGCCGGTACCGCTGTGAACTCATTAATGGCATCGAGGACGAGAGCGTGGCGCTGACCCTGCGCCTGGAGGGTGAGGCCCTGGGGTTACCGCCCGGCTCCTTTCTTGGGGAGGTTGGTAGCCTCATCTCCGTCTCCCAGGACCTTCCCCAGCATCTCCCCCGCCCGCTCCCAGGGTTCCCCCAGCCCTCTCTCCTAGGTGCACCTCCTTCCTCCCCCCTTCCTCCCGTCTGCCGGCCCTCGCCAGGCTGTCCGCCACCCCCAGGTGTGGTGTTCCCGTACCAGCCTAGCCGAGGCCGGTACCAGTTCAATTACTACGAGGCGAAGCAGGCGTGCGAGGAGCAGGACGGTCGCTTGGCCACCTACGCCCAGCTGTACCAGGGTGAGCGGCCAGACCCGGACGGCGCCCCCGCCCCCTCTGGGTGGTCACTCGGGTCCAGCGGAGGACAACTCCGAGGCTGGCTCCAGTCTTCGACGCCCCAAATCCCTGAGCTTCCCCTCTCGGCCCTGCATCTCCTGACAGCGTGGACCGAGGGCCTGGACTGGTGTAACGCGGGCTGGCTGCTTGAGGGCTCGGTGCGCTACCCGGTGCTGACCGCGCGCGCCCCGTGCGGTGGCCGCGGCCGGCCTGGGATCCGCAGCTACGGGCCCCGCGACCGCAAGCGCGACCGCTACGACGCCTTTTGCTTCACCTCGGCCCTCGCAGGTGAGGGGCGGGGCCTGACGTCCGCGGAAAAGGGAGACCCTCGCGGGCTAACAAGGTTGGACTGGGACTTTGGGTGGGGGTGGGAAACGGCGGAGAAAGTATAAAGCAGGAGGCTTGAGATCAGCGAAACCCTTCAAGGTCCGGCCCCTCTGTCATCCCGCTCGCCCCGGCTCTAACCCGCCTCCCGCAGCTCCGCCTGCACCCCGCCGTCTGGACATCCTCACAGCTCCTACCCAAACTCCGTCCCGCCCCCCTGCGGCCTAACCCCGACCCTCCCCCACCCCCCTATGCATTCCCGCCGCCCCTCCCCCCACCCTGCTCTGGGCGGGGCGGTGACCCGCTGCGCCCCCAGGTCAAGTGTTCTTCGTGCCCGGGCGGCTGACTCTGTCCGAAGCGCACGCGGCGTGCCGGCGGCGCGGGGCTGTGGTGGCCAAGGTCGGGCACCTCTACGCGGCCTGGAAGTTCTCGGGGCTGGACCAGTGCGACGGCGGCTGGCTGGCGGACGGCAGCGTGCGCTTCCCGATCACCTCGCCCAGGCCGCGCTGCGGGGGCCTCCCCGACCCCGGGGTGCGTAGTTTCGGTTTCCCCAGGCCCCAGCAGGCCGCCTACGGCACCTACTGCTACTCAGAATAGGGGCTCACCTCATGCCCTGCAGCGCGCGCCACAAAATCTCGTGGCGGGAGTCTCTCGCCGCCCCTTTTCCACAAGCCCCCCCTCCCGGCAGACTAAGAGCAGCCCGTCCAGACGTGCCTTCCCCGCAGAGGGCGACGGGCGGTCGTTCCCGGCTGGCCGGGCCTCGGGTCGGGGAGGTGGTGGCGCCCCAGGAGGCAGGGTGCAGATACGACCCTCCCACCCGTTAATCGAGGACGGGTGGTTGTGCGTGAGCCTCCAGTCGACCACGCAGCCACTGCTGGGGCGGGGGGGGGTGCGGCGGGAAGGGCGCCCAGGCGGCATCCGTTGACTTCTGTGTTCCCCAATAAAATGATTTGGAGATTTTGTTTTGGGCTAAGCTGCAAGCATGGCCGGGCTTGGGGCGTGAAGGAGAGGACCTTGGGCTCAGCGTGCAAACCACTCGCCTAGAAAGACAGGGTAAGAGGGGATACTGCAGCTGAGTGATGAGCCTGAAGTAGCGTGGGATTGCGAGGAGAGGGCACCAAATATCAAAGCAGAAAATGTTGGAGACCGGTGGACTGCCTGACCCGGCACAGACTCGGAAGAACCGGAGGTGGTGTTGGGCCACACACCGCGCGAGGGCGCCACACACTCACCTAAGATCGTTGTGGCGCAAATCTGCCAGAAGCGCTCCAAACCCCGAGGCCTACCCTCCGGGCACCACAGAACAAATATAAGACAGACATAAACGTATTTCAAAATGCGTTTTGCCAGTCTCCCAGAAGTGATTCAGAAGTACTGGGAAGTGATACCGTTGTTACAATCTACCAGCATTTAACCCTGCGGAAGCAGGAGGCTACCGCCACCAAAACTAATAATGTCATGGGAGGGTTACTTCAGAGACATTGTGCATTTAGTTGTACATGTTATATACTATAAATATATTTTTAAAGATTTATTTATTTATGCATACACTCTGGGGTACAGGCCAGAGGTACAGGGGTGAGAGGATTCACCAGAGACAGAGTGGTAACAGAACAGGCAGATCGATGGAAATACACTGCTGAGGGGAGCAGCGGTGTATGGGTTGCTCCTTGGCTGGCAATCAAACTGGTTCTGCAGTGGCTGTGGATAGCTTAATAGTGCTGCGTCTTAACCCCTTGCACCACCAGGGAGGCCCCTATACTATAAATATTTTTATTCAAGTCATCTACACCATAGAAAATCAACTGGATAATAGTAATGACTATAGCAAAGAACATCCTAATAGCCCTTGATATGGGATATAAAATTGCTTTCCAAGAGGGTTCTTGTTAAAATTGCTAAAGAGAACTCATCCTATGGGACTGTGTGAAAGGGACAGACAATGGTTAAATGAACAGCATCTCCAGTAACCCTCATAGCAAATGAAATAGTTGCAACAGTTTCTAAGCTCTGGGTTTTTGTTTTGTTTTGTTTTGTTTTGTTTTGGTAGGGGATGATCACCTCTGGCTTCTCAGTTTGGCGTGAAGTGATTGAAACAGCCCTCGTAGCAGAACAACCATTACTCAGGTTCTTACTGAGTAGTCTGTACGATTGCTTGTGGTATGACACTGTTTTAGTCAGGATAAATTAATCATGCCGTGATAACAAGCAAATCCCAAGACTCAATGACTTAAAACAAAAAAAGATATATTTCTCCTGCAGGCTCCATGCCTATGGTTGGGGCTCTCTTCTTATTTTGGTGATTCGGGGAGATAGGCTAATAGAGCAGCCACCATCTCAAATGCCATCAGTTATCACACCAGAAGGGGGGAAATGTGCATTCTGGAGGGTCTTCAACAGGTAAATAATAGCTGTGGCCCAGAAGGGACTCCTGTCCCTTCTCTTCACAACACATTCCCAGAACTAAGCGCATGGTTCCACTCAACCACATGGGGTAGGAAAGAGCAATCCTACTGTAACCTAGAATATTTGATGAACTACTCACTCCAGAAACACCCCCACCACCAGCACCAAGGAGGGCAGTCTAAGTTCTGGGACATTTTCTGTAGTTACCCACTTCCCCTACCATACACACTCTTCTGAGTTTTCTAAGTTCTAGCCAATTATGGAATCAGAGCCCCCCAGAAAATTGAGATCATGAGCCCAGCAACTCAGTTTACAGGAAGACAACACTTCAGTATAATGCCTTCAGCCTCGATCAAGAGGTCACGTGAGGGCCTCCCCGGTGGTGCAGGTGGTTGAGCATAGCGCTGTGAAGCTGTCCGCAGCCTCTGCAGCGCTGGTTAGATCCTGGCTGGCCATCGAGAATCCCACATGGCACGGCAGACCTCTCATGTCTCGCCCCCTGCTCCCCTCAGCAGTGTATTTCTTCAATCTGCCTGTTCTGTTCCCCGCTCTGTCTGGTGAATCCTCTCACCCTCCTGCGCATCTGGCCTGTACCCCAGTTCTTGTATAAATAAATAAATAAATCTTAAAAAAAGAAAAAAGAAGTCACGTGAGAAATGTTCATGGGTGGAAGGGCCTTCCATTCCCTGTGGATTCTGTTTCCTTACCATAAAAGCCCATGACCACTAATTCTTACAACTCCCCTCCATATTGCTATCACTATCATTTTTTTATTATGGAGGAATTTCAGACATATAAAAATTGAGAGAATGGTATGATAATATCCTTCCTCAGTCAACTTGACCATTTAAACATTCTGCTCTTCTTGTTTGACAAGTCCCCTTTCTTATGTTTGTTTTTGCTGGAGAATTTTTTAAAAATTTTATTTATTTTTGCATAGAACTGGGGTATAGACCAGAGGTATGTGGGGTATGTGTGAGAGGATTCACCACAGACAGAGTGGGGAGCAGAACAGGCAGATCCACTGAAATACACTGCTGAGGGGAGCAGTGGACGAGACAGAAGAGGTCTGCTGAGCCATGTGGGTTAGTTCCCTGGCTGGGGATCGAACTCATGCCTGGCAATAGCTTGATAATGTTAAGACTTTAACCCCTGTGCCACCAGGGAGGCTCTCTATGCCAGTTTTTGCTTGTTTGTTCTAACTATCATGAGGATGCTTGTCATTGGGTTTATCCTACCTGGCTAATCTAGGACCATCTAATCTCAAGATCCTTATGAAATTAGGGAATAAATTTGTAGAATGAATTATATCTGCAAAGACCACTTTCCCACATCAGCCAATATTCATTTGATTTCAGGGACTGGGATGTGGACATGTATGTTTCAGGCCACCACTCAACAGACTGCAGCCATCAATGTTCATCGAATGGCCATTAATGGTCATCATCCAGAGCTGTTATATCATGAGTACAAAATGGAGTTTTTCTAATTTTGTCACCTTCCTTTGTTTATTATTTATGAATCATCTATAAAGAAATATTTCCCTCACCAAATATACTGTTAAGCTGACTTATAACCCATTCAGGAAAAGCAGGATTAATATTTGATTCTTTTCCAATTTTCTCAGGTAGGTGTTATGAACTGAATGCCCATGTCCTCCCAAACTTCATATGATAAACCCTAATCCCCACTGTGATGGCTTTTGGAGCTGAGTATTTGGAAGGCAACCAGGTCACCAGAGTAGAGCCCTCCTGATGAAACTAGTGTCCTCATAAGAAGAGACTGGGGAAAGGTTCCCTGTGCTCTCTGCTCGCCATCAGTGAGAACACAATGAGAAGAGAGCTGCGGTGAAGCAGAAGGTAGGCCCGCACCAGACACTAGATCTGTGTAAAATAAATCATTGTCTAAGTCACTTAGTTTGTGGTAACTTGTTTTAGCAACCCAAACAGACCAAGAAAATACAGTTGCCTAAAAGCAGATGTCGAGTCAGGAATTTGTGTGTGGGCCTCCCTGGTGGTGTAGGGGTTAAGTTTCAGCACTATCACCTCAACGGCCTGAGCTCAATACCTGCTCAAGGAGCTGACCCTCAATGGCACAGCCATGTGAGACCCTCACACGGTGAGACACTCCTGACTCGCCCACTGCCCCCCTCAGCAGTGTATTTCAGTAAATTTGCCTGTTCTGCTCCCCACTCTGTCTCTGGTGAATCTTCACCGCCTCCCCATACATACCCCACACCTCTGATCTTCTACATTCAGTTCTTCTATGCAAAAAAAAAAAAAGAATTTGTATACAGTAAAGCATTTGAGAGATCAGCTGAGGCAACATTGGAGGAGAGAAGCAAGACAGGAAAGGGGGTGAGGGGAAGCAAATATTGTTTAAAAATGAACAATGATGTAAAAAATAAGAAAAATAATTAAAAATTAAAAAAAAAAAAGACAGGAAAGGGAAGACAGTCAGTGCAAAGTGTACAACTGCAGGTGGAGCACCAGGGGCTCAGGCTGCTGGGCAATTCTGTAAGATAGTACAGAGCCTGACTCAGAGGAGCCCACCCTCGGGATCAACTCCCCGACTGAAGGCTGAGGACTGCTTCTGGGAGCACTAGCCCTTTAGCCTTCCCGGCTAGTCCTGAGCCCTCCCCTGCCCCAGAAAGAAAACCCTCAAGCAGAGCCATGGAGGAGTGCAGAAGTCCCCTTGTAGAGGTGAATGCTGAAGAAAGCAGGTTACAGCCACAGGCCCCCTCAGCGATGCTCAGGTATCTGTACAAGCTGGTAACCGATCACAAATTCTAGTTCTTTAGAAAGCTTGATAAGAGGGTTAGTGAATAAACCTTTCAGAGACCATTGCTGCTGGTTCAAGGGCCACGGTAAGTATTACACATCTCCTTCCTCTGAGATTCATTCTGTTGACCAGTGGTCTTTCACCATGGAAAACCCAGAACCTCATCCCACAAGGCCTAAGCTAGTCGGTACCCAGCATTTGACAGGCCCAGATTGCTGCACCTGCTTCTTCATATGGACATGTAGTCATGGAGATATAAGTGTCTTTGCCACTATAATTCTTCTCATTGGTTTAGTGGGATGCTTACTGTGACCCCAGATAGATGCATCTCGCAAACTAGGAACTCTAACCCTGCAGGGCCTAAATGCATAGGGACAAGAATCACAAACTTCCCAAGTGGATCAGTGAGA